CTCCCAAAGTGCTGGGATTACAGGCTTGAGCCACTGCGCCCAGCTGCTTTGCCTGAATTTCTAAGTGGGTTCTCTGTATACGCCTTGTTGTACCACAATTATATGTATAAGCAGTTACAGGTGCTTTGGGGAATGAGTTAGGGAATAAAACTCCCAAACAAAACACAAACATCTCTGGGTAGCATTTGATTCCTATCCCCAGACCAAAGCAAAAATGCGGACCCAACAAAGCCAGATTGCAATCCTCGAGCCCCAAGACGCAGAGGCCCTTGCCATGGGAGCCCGACCCTCTCCTCCAGGAAGAGCCAACGCATTAAAAATAAATGGGGTTTTTATTGTGTGTCCACGAAAACAAAGGGTGGCCTTTGGTTAATCCCCCCCAACAAGATGACAAAAAGGAGGCATGCATGACAACAAGAACCATGTTCTCCTCTGACTGAGCGAGGCCTTGCCCTCCTGGACCCTAAGGGTTACAGGCAAGCAGGGCCAGGAGGCTGCCGAGGAAAGCACACTCAGGCCCCCATGGAGGGCCTGAATCTGCTGCCTCCCTGGTGGGACAAGGCAGGGGGAGCAAGCACTACTCTGGGCTAGGCCCAGCGCCCCCCAAGCAAGAACACATAAAAGCCCCTGCCCCTGCCCCTGCCCCTGCCCCCACACCCACCCCCACCCCCACTGCTAAGGCAGTCAGCTAGGACTTCCCCAGAAGACCTGGCTCTGAAGCCCAGACCCTCATGGCTCCCTCTGGAAAGGGTTGCCTTCCTCAGCCTGCATGAAGTAGTAAATGAAAAAGAGGACGATCACAAAGACCAGGAAAAGCAGCAGCTGGCCCCAGAGCGGGACCTGGTGATCCTGGCCCAGCCCAGCCCCAGGAGCATGGTTTTCAGGCCGGATGGCACGGCGGGTGAGCCATGAAGAGGAAGATGATGAGGAGGACATAGAAGAGGTGGAGGAGGAAGTAGGATAATAGGACAGGTCCAGGGAGCTCCTGGAGGCTGAAACAGGGCGGTAGTGCGCGATGCTCTGGTAGGCACTGTCCCGGCCGTACATGGGGCGTTCCCTGAGGCAAAAGAGGGGAGCAGGTGGGCCAGGAGCCTGGGTCCAGAACCAGCCCCTGTCCCTGGCCTTCCCCATACATACATACCTATCCTTGCACTCCTCTTCAGAAGACGACAAAAGGTCGTCATCACGCACCTGTAGAAGAGAGTCAAGGTGAGGGAACTGGCTGGCAGGGCCACAATGGCCCTGTCACGTCCCTCTCAAATTTCCCCAGCAGGTCCCCTCTGACCTTTGGTTAGAGGCCAGGGACCCACACCCTCCTGAATGACTCTGGGTGTTCGGCCTTTTATCCATGGGGCCTTGCTACTTGTGCTCATGCCCCAGCATCCCCTTTTGCCCCCAGGACTCTCAGGAAGAGCTGGAGCCTAGATCCCAGACCAGGGTGCAGGACGCATCCTATGTGCTCTAGTCACATAGTTCTGAGGGCTCCCCAAAGTAGGACCCTGACCAAACAGGTGTCTGCTGAGCCAAAGTCTCCCCAGAGGCCCAAGGGCCACCATTTGTACCCAGTGGCCCCCTGGATTTATCCAAACACAGCCGCGATCCCCTAGGTTGTACCCAAGTACAGTACGCCTGCCAGCCAGCTCACCTGGTGGTGGAAAGTGTCAGCATCTGGGAGTGAAGTCACAGACTGGCGGAAGCCCCTGGACGGGCCCGCAGACTCGGGCTCCCCATAAGTCCTGGTAGTGAAGTAGCTCTCTTCATAGTAGTCGTCATTGTAGCCTTGGGAAGGGGGGCAGCGGTAGCAGAGGGGGCATCGGTGTGCCCCGCCTGGCCCGATGGCCCTAATCTGAATCCCATTTCGGGACCTGTGACAGTTTCTCCCTCCTAAGGCTGCTGGAGTGGTTGGGACTGAGGTCTCAGGTCCTCCCTGTGAGCGGGGTCCCTGACGCAGTCGGGTGAAGGTGCCAGCGTGCCCACCCAACCCCTGCCTTACCCTTGCTCTGGTAGAGTAAGGAGTCCTCTTTCTTGGGAAGATCATACATATCTGAATCCCCTGACGTCGAATTCAAGTCTGGATTGAAAGGAGGAGACAGAACTGTTTGCCCCCCCCCACCCCGAGACTTCCCTCCCCTTTCCCCAGTGCCGCTCTCGACCGGCACCCCTGCCACACCCTCGCTACCTCATCCTCCCCGCGTCCCAGGCCGTCCCCACAGGCGAGGCTCTCACCAGAGAAGCGATAAGAGGAGGCAGCGGACGAGCCGGGGGGCGAGAGCCGCCGCCTCTGGGTCTCATACTCGAAGATCTTCTGCTCGTAAAGCCTACGAGTTGATCCTGGCCGGACACGGGGCGGTCAGGGCCGCGGGCCGGGGAAGGGGCGCGGGGAGG